TCTCCCTGACACTATGGCCTTCCACGCCTTATCCTATTCCACTAGCTTATACCTGTTGGGATACGTTATATCGCCTATTATCTGGCCGGACCACATCGTATCCCACAAGTTCATTAAGCCCATCGAGTGCAGATCGTGCCATAGTCTGTACCGGATTTCATCTGTGTGCACCCATATGCGGCGACTGTAGACTGGACCACCTTCATGGAGTGTCTGCTTCAGCCTTCTTCAGTAGGCCTCTGCAATATTTTTATGTTTGCCAATGTAAGTAAGTAAACTAGTCGGTAATTAATTAAGTATGCTCGCTTGATGTTGGATCCTTAAAATTCTTGAAGTGATTAATGGTCCAGTGCGTATAACCTTCCAGTGGTAGACTCCTGTAGGCTTTCCATTCGTCCGTAACCACAACACTACCTATTTTACCAACTTTGCCAAGACAGGCTGTATTGTATTCCAGCTTTTTCTGTTGACGTGCACAATGATCCCTTTGCGGTTTTTTACATCGTTTGCGGGAGTCCTCGCGCCCAGTGCCATTGCTGTAAATCAGACTGTTTTCTTCCGTCAAGCCTTGCATGCTGCGCACACTCACGCTCACTGTCGAGTCGCCCCGCGTACGCTCAAAGCTAATCAGTACTCCCGCATTGTTAGATTGGCTGCAGACGACAGAACACTCATCCGGCAGGCTAGACCTTTCAATAAGCACAACTTTTACGGACACCCCTGGCATGCGGACACAACTGGCAGCTGGCGCGTGGAGCAATCTCTATACAGTTATTTATCGCTTAGTAAAGTTTTTCCAGTTTACTCTATCCTCGTCTTGTGATTTGAGGAAGCCTTCTATTCTCGGCTAACCAGTCTTCAAAACGTAAATTCCCAGAATCGAAAGCTGTTTTCCCCTTATTGTAGTTCCGACGACGGATCATTGTCTCATCCATTTGCACCTCGACTCCGGGCCCGCCGAGTTAGCCCTTTTTCCTTCATTAATTTTGCACTACATATATCGCGATACCGCGATATCAAGTTACAGATGTTAGGTGATAAAGTCCGCTGTCCTCCTCGCAGACCCTGACTCATAATACGCGAACGAATGCCCACATTATCTTGAAGCCGTTCTGATGCTCAAGTGGTTTCCTTCAAAAATTAAACAACTTCTCAGAGGTCTTCTTCTGCACTTGCTACAGTAAGACACATATCCATATA